GAAGGAAGTGAGTAAATAAAGAAATGAGTAATGAATAAGTTGCTTTATTAACCTTATTAACCTTCACGCAGAGCCGTCTCACAACAACACAAACTACTGAGCTCGCTACTTCAGGTGCAACTTGAAGCTTTCATTCTGCACCAAATATCACACTTAAGTCACCAACAAAAACACACAAAGCACAAGCACACATTTGATAACAGGGTGGAGTTTATCTCCTCACAAAGTGGAGTATTGAAAGTGTTAAACGGGATTTCCCGCCAAAATAAAAGACAAACAGCAGCAGCATTGCCACTAAATGCAATAAAACACGCGTTGTGCAGCGTGGACAGAAAGAGGAACGGCTTTAACTTTCCATCTCTTAATAACATGGTTATTGTAGCTGAAAGAAATGATTACAATAAAGTACATCCTCATTCTGCTCTAAAGCAGGTGTGTGAAACTCATCGTAGGTCACTTTGATCTCCAGCCATGTCCAGGGCTGATATGAAGGTCCAAGGTGATTCTATGTGGACGTTTCTCCAGGTTTCATGGCTCGGCTTGACCTCCTCACGCACAAACGCATGAGGACCGTCACCGACTACTTCCTGGCTCCCTGATGGGAAGCTTCCGGATGCTTCTCTTTTTGAGGTGAATGCTTTTAATTTGTGTCGTCAGTGAAATGGATTCATGAAGATGATTCAATGAGAGGACGATCGGGATCAATCTCTCTATGAATAAATGCTACTGACTGATTAATGCTCAAAACAAGCTCACATGGGACAGTATTACATATTATATTTGGACGTTCGTGACACTAATGCACACTTTATATGTATTTGTGTCATATGTATGTATATAACAGAGTTTGGGTAACCTTCAATATTTATCTCCATAAGATATTTCATGGGCTTTTTAGGAGCAAAGAACAAGTTCCTGTTGTCATGCAGAAGGAAGTATTAGAATGTGACTCCAAAGCTGAAGTCATTTAGTGAGTGTTACACACTAAATGAAGACATGTCCAGGGGGCCACATGTGAATTGAGTAGATGCATCTGATTGTTAGTGTTCATCTATTTTCATTTCAGGATGTTGCATTAATGCTCATTCAGGTTTATCGTCAGCTTGATGTGGGAGCTATTATTTAGTTACTTATTCTTGAATATAGTTGGATTAATTGTTTGGGTAATTGGATCACTAATTGGCTGATGCTGTGCGCACCTGGAGGTTACTTAGGGGCACAGCCAGGTGGGACCAGCATGCACCTGGGTGACTAATAGTGTTTAGCAGTGAGACAGTGAGACAGAGCACTGCATAGGAAGGCAGACAAGTTGTATCGTATGTGTTGTGGATCCTGTGGAATAAAGGCGAAACAAAGGAAAAGATCGGCCAGACAATCCGCTTTCTTACTGCGTGACAGAAAACAAAAACTAGGTGCAGCAGTGACCCTTTGATTCAAAGATGTGTTGGTAACAAGGACAAATGGCCACTACAATTAGCATGTTTAATAAAACAGTTGTAATATGAATCAAACACAATAGTCATTTATGTGATATAATTACTGTACACATGAACAGCCACAATGTAACGTTAAGACCTGAGCAGCACAGCATTTCTACCTCCCATGTGCTCAGAGTGAGTTACTTCCTCTGTGGGGAAAAACTGTTAGATCATCAGCTGTTAACAGCCTCATATGGTTTGGAGGAGTAAGAACATGATGTAGAGTCAAAGGGAGAGAGAACAGTTTCATTTTCTCTTTAGTTCAACACTGATATACAGAGTGAAGGTAAAAGATACAACTTACATTTTAAAATCAGAGTTTGTTGTGATTTCCATCATTGTGACCGTGGCACATGGAGTACAGAGGGTGTGCTGCAAACCGCAGGGTTGGTGGTTCAAATCCCAAGTCAAAACGTCCCTAAGCAAGACGGCCAAACCCCTAACTGCTCCCCAGGCGCCCTTATGTTGATTTGATCTAAGGAAGTTATTATTGCATCATGCTTTGAGTTAAGGTTACATCATCACTACTAGTTAACGTTTGAATGATATTCAACGTTTAAACTTATAAGGATTTAATTCCTGATCGATTATCATTACAGGCTTAGTGTAGCAGTATGGAAATAGGATTGTCCTGCTACAGTTAACTGCGCCTGCCGACCACTAGGGCGGCGGTAGTATATAAAGGCTGCCCCCCTTCTCGCGCCCCACTGATGCATCATTTCCGGGTCAGGCGTCTGTCTGCGCAGAGTGGCGACAGAGTGCCCCGTGCTCCTTTTGCTCTTGGGTCCTCTCAGCCGGTGGTAGATGTCTTCCTGCCGTGTGGGTCTTTCTCTCCCTCCCTGTGCAGGTTGGACCTGGGAAACAGGGGATGCTCATCAGCTGGCTCTCTCTTTTCTGTTGGGGATTGTGAGAGGCAACGCTCAGTTGATTGTGTTAGAGATTTGAGCCAGAAGTGCACCCCTAGTCAGGGAATTATAGTACGTGTAATAATGTTTAGTGTTAGAATTATAGTTTGTGTGATGTTAGATATTAGTTATTACATTAACATGTTAGATGAAGTGAATGCAATTACAATCAAACACAATTCATAGTCATTTAAATCATATAAACACTGTACACATTAACATTCTGTCACAATGTGATGTTAAAACCTGGGGACGGATGCCAATTGCCGTTCTTTATGGATTTCTCCCAATTTTATCCCCAAAGAGGGTTTTTTGGGAGTTTTTTCTCCTGTCAGGTAATAAATGAACAACTTAATGCGAGGCAGCCGACTGAGGCAAATGTCTTGAGAATTGAACCACATGAACTGTTTTAGATCTTATGATGAAATGTGATGAACGGTGATCATTAATGATGGGTTGTTGTAATGAAAGTGTACTAGTTATAAGATGAAGACTTAAACGATGTATGCTTTGTTGGGTTCACTCATTGAGGCATAAAGCCACTGTATCTGCATTGAGTGCATTGGAATTTGAGGGACAGCTAGGACAGAGAGGTTTCAGGTTACAGCTGCAGCTTCACACCTCGACGTGGAAGGGACAATGGAGGAGGTGACCCTTTGGAGAAGAGGCCAATGACATTCAAATGCACCAAAGAAGACACACCTCAAGAGGTTTCAAAGGACCAAAGCGGGGAAAAGACTGTTAGAACTTCTCCTGCAGCCGCGTTGATAAGTCACTTCAGACTTGCTCAGAGGATTCTCTATTTCGCGAAATATTCCACTGTTCGCTTAGTATTTCACTTTGTAATTGTAATCCCTATTATGTTGTTTAGTCATTAAATACTTTTTGATTTTTGAATTTAAACGAATTGACTCATTCGTGTCCTCGTTTCCGGCCGGGACGAGAACAAAGGATTGAGTCCTCCCTCGAGAGCTTCCGAAACCTTAACAGATACTGTCACTGATGATATATTCAGCTTGTGAAACAGGTTATTTTATGATGCTAAGACACCTTATAAAAACCAAGCAGTAAATATGTATCATTTACTATAAATGACTAATGCAAAGGTCCATTTAAGAGCTGCATACAGCATTAGAATAGAAGAGCACACTGAGAAATTCAAGGTCAAGAATGAACTAATTCCATGATTAGTCCAGTGACTGATTGTTCCTTCTAAAAAGTAATTTATCAAGAAGAAAAAGATGGAATATTAGTTAGTTATTATTAGTTGCTATTAGTCTTATTTCTTTGATTTTTTTTTAGAAAATTGCAAACTTTGATTTGATTTATTAACATACTGTAGCTTTATGTTCTTCACTCACTAACATCTCTAAATCCATCGTCAGCTGTGGATCTTTGCAGCTCCTGCAGAGTAACGAGGGCCTCCTGGTTGCTGCTCTATCAAGGACATCACAGTGTACTCAGGATAAATGTGACCTCTGACCAGTGGTGTAGTCTATATTTATCATCTATAATCTAATCATCTATATTTTTGTAGTGACTATACTGTGATCTTCCCCTCCCAGCGTCATACTGAGATAACTTAAGGCTCACTGTTTTTAAAATAGTAACAAATCTGACGGCAGTAAACTGAAGTAATTTTCTTTAGAGCCTTTGAGCAACATTAGATCTTCTCATCCTGACCTCCTCTGTTTAACCATTGGAGTCATGATGAAGTGTGACAAATAATGATGTAGGTTCATTATTCTTAACGTTTAATAGAAATAAACCACAGGTGTCTATTTTTCATTTTTGTTATGTATTACATTGTGATCAACAAATATTGCCTCTTCTTGGAGGTACGTTTGGGTTCTTAAATGAAATATATATAATATAACAAGATGTGTACAACAATGGTTGCAAATGAACCCTAAACATCACATGGAATAAACAGCATTAAATACGTGTGTAATAACCTGGATCAATAACACAAACACAGTTAAATATAATGAAATCTATGGTTTAAATACACGTATTCTGCCACCTAGTGGAAGACATGTGAACACGTTGACTTTGCGTGTCTCTGCGTTCACTGAAGCAACAACAATGCGTGAAAAATAAATATGAGAGGCAACAGCAACGAGTGTGAAACCACAAGCCACTTTGATTAAACTATATTATAAACTATATCAGTAGCTATATTATTACCCACATGCAGTAGCCCTTCTCCCTTGTCCTCTTAGTCAGGGTCCTTATGAAGAGTGTCTACTTCTATATGCTGCTATACTGCCCGAGGATGTAAACACAGCCCAGATACACAAACCGTGGACATTTATTATCACACACACAATTCACTACACACTCAGCGTCAAAAGACTCCACCCGGGATTTGTCTGTAAGACGGTGCACGTCGGCGCTCCCGGCGACCCTCCACCCAGAGAAGAGGGGTCAGTACTCACAGTTCTCCGGGTTTCCATCAGTTTGTTTCTACCGGCGTCCAACCAGCCCCCGTGATCACTGGAGCTTTTCGATGCCTCCCCGTATCCGCTGAATCCAACTCGTAATCCCCGCAGCCCCCGATCCTCATCATAGACATGTACCTTTATACATGCATATGATCCGCATCATAGACATGTACCTTTATACATGCATATGATCCTCATCATAGACATGTACCTTTATACATGCATATGATCCTCATCATAGACATGTACC